GTGTGCTCTTGGCACGGACGTCCTTGAGGACAGGCAGGAGGACTTTGACTCTCTTGCGGCTGCTGTACCTCATCTCGTGGCCTGGTTGCTTGCCCCTGAGGGAGACCCGGATGCAGTAGACATCCCCACTCCGCGCACTTACGCAGAGGCGATCTCGGGTCCCTACTCCTCTCAGTGGCAGACAGCCATGGACGCAGAGATGGCATCCTGGAAGTCCACAGGCACCTACGTCGACGAGGTTCCCCCTCCTGGGGCGAACATCGTCGATGGCATGTGGATTTTCAGGGTGAAGCGGCCGCCAGGTTCTCCGCCTGTCTTCAAGGCTCGTTACATTGCTAGAGGCTTCAGTCAGCGTCAGGGGGTCGACTTCTTCCAGACCTTCTCCCCCACCCCGAAGATGACCACTCTTCGGGTTCTGCTGCACGTTGCTGCTCAGCGTGACTACGAGCTTCACTCTCTTGACTTCAGCACAGCGTTTCTGCAGGGCAGCCTGCACGAGGAGATCTGGCTGCGCCGCCCACCTGGCTTTACTGGGTCGTTTCCCCCTGGTACCCAGTGGAGTCTCCGCCGGCCAGTCTACGGTCTCCGCCAGGCGCCACGTGAGTGGCACGACACACTGAGGACTACTCTTGCGGCTCTTGGGTTCGCGCCGTCTACTGCTGACCCGTCGCTGTTTCTGCGCACAGACACGTCGCTGCCGCCGTTCTACATCCTCGTGTACGTCGACGACTTGGTCTTTGCTACTGCTGACACTGAGGCACTCGCTCGTGTGAAGTCGGAGCTGCAGAAGAGACACACCTGCACTGACCTGGGTGAACTGCGTAGCTACCTTGGCTTGCAGATCACCCGGGACAGAGCTCGCCGCACCATCACCCTGACTCAGTCACACATGGTGCAGCAGGTCCTTCAGCGCTTCGGCTTCCAGTTCTCCTCACCACAGGCCACACCTCTGGCTACCAGCCACTCGCTCTCAGCTCCACCTTCGGACGAGTCCGTAGAGCCGAGTGGCCCATACCCAGAGCTTGTAGGCTGCCTCATGTACCTGATGACTTGCACGCGACCTGACCTCGCGTACCCTCTTAGCATCCTTGCTCGTTACGTTGCGCCTGGGAGACACAGGCGAGAGCACTGGGAGGCTGCTAAGAGGGTGCTGCGTTACCTGTGCAGTACATCAGGCATGGGGCTGGTGCTTGGAGGACGCGACAGAGTTGTCCTCACTGGTCACTCGGACGCCTCTTGGGTGGACGACCTGGCTACGCAGCGGTCGTCACAGGGTTACACCTTCAGCCTTGGCTCTGGTTCTGTCTCGTGGCGGTCCACCCGCTCTTCCTCTGTTCTCGGCTCTAGTTGTGAGGCTGAGATCTACGCCACAGCCATGGCTGCACAGGAGTTACGCTGGCTCACCTACCTGCTGACTGACTTGGGAGAGCGGCCTAGTTCTCCTCCAGTTCTGTACGGTGACAACAAGGCGGCTCTTGCCTTGTGTCAGGAGCACAGACTGGAGCACAGGACGAAGCACATTGCTCTTCGCTACTTTCTTGCTCGAGAGCTTCAGCAGCGCGGTCAGCTTCGGCTTGTGTACGTGGACTCGAAGGCCAACACTGCTGATATCTTCACCAAGGCGCTCCCGCCTAGTGATCATCAGCGGCACTGTACTTCTTTAGGCCTTGTGTCCACGTTTCCTCACTTGCTCACTGCTTGACATTCTTTGTACTGTACTTTATATATATCTTGTTGCTTGCTTGCTAGGTTTTGATCACTGTGTTGCTTGTTTTGTACTATATCTAGCACTGCATGTGAACTGGCCTTGTGGCCTTTACTTGTGCTCGGAGTGTGGTGACGTTGTGATCCACCCTGGGCTTTGCTTTGCTTTGCTGGACTGGTCTTGTGACCCTTTGCTCTCCCCCACTTTGCCTATGGGGGTGTGTTAAACTGTATTATGCTTGTAGGCTGTAGTGGGGTAGCCAATATGGGGTACAACCCCAAATAGGGTTTTATATTTGTACCAAACTTCTGCTAGTTCATCATTCTTGCCTAGTGATTCTGACATGGGGGTGACGGGTGTGTGCGCCGTCCCCTGCTCCTCCTCCTCCTCCGTCTCCCACTGCTGCAGCTGCCGCTGAGGGGGGTGGATGTGTGGGAGCCGTCGGAGTGGTACTAGGGGGGTGGCGTGTGAGCAGTGCTAGGGGTACAGCAGGGGGTGTGTGAAAGGGGTGTGGGACAGTTGGGGGAGGTTGAGTGGAGGCAGCCGTCTTGTCGTCCGCAGCGCCTGTAGTCCGAGGCCCGTGGGTGTGGTAGCCCAGCGAGCCTGCTGCGCCAGTCGCCCGTGGGTCAGTTGCTCCTGCCGCTCGTCTTAGCCGCGGAGCCAGGTACTCCTGTAGTCCGGGGCCCTTGCCACCGGTAGCCACCGTGCGCGCCGCTCCTGTTGCCCGTGTGTCTGCGGCTTCACCCGTCGCCTCGTATCCCCACTCCTCTCACAGTCCCTCCTCCTCCTCACTTGCCCTCTGTGTCTGCCTCTAGTTTTGCTTGTACTTGTGAACCTGCTCTATGACTGCTTGCTGTGCTGATTATACCCCACTTTGACTATGGGGGTGTGTCAGAATGTGATATTTGTCTAGCCTGCAGTGGGGTACTCTATAGCGAGTATAGCCCAAATTAGGGTTTCCTATATGTACTCAACTGCCTGCTAGTGAAAACCCCTCTTTTGCCTGTTCTAGCTTCCTGCTGCTTGTTTTAACAGCACATGCAATTTTGGGTTTATACATGCGCAATGTCTGGGCTGGCATATTCCTTTTGCACAGCTGGAAAACGGAAATGCAAACACATCTCGATTCATTACATACACAAATTGAAAATAACCAATTGTCAAAACATTTATTAAAATGGTTCATTCACATCTGCTTGGGTTGTCTAGGTGTTGTCTTGCATAATTCTTACTGTTTTGATCCCCTCCTGAAAGGTGGACTGGCAATGACAACTCATTATGACATTTTTTAATCTCTGGCCCATGAATATAAGTATTTTTATATTTTCCTAAATACAAACAAACAAACAAACATGACAGATGCCTACTTAGATGTTTCTCCTCACTTGTGCGACCAGGTTTGGAAAAGCTTTAAACTCAAACATGCTTGAATGCGGCATCATAAGGGCCCGACCACTCACAACAGAACAATTGTTTCAGAGGCTTACTGAACTGTCATGCATATAGGGACGTGAGTGTCAGAAACAAATATGTGTATGTACTTGTTTTATATATAAACTGCCTATAGTAGTATAGTGTAGTGTAACACCCTGTTTGGTGGTGTACCTCCTTTGTCTTGTTTCTCGCTTGTACTAAGTGGGCCTGTGCCCATTTTAGTGCACCTTTCCTGCCTCTCGTTCTTCTCACCATAGCTAACTCAAACCCTAGCCATGGCTGCTAGTTAAGTTGTTGTTTTGACAGTGAGTATTCTTCTCAACTCTATCTGTGGAGTTCATCAAAATCAGTGAGGGTGCAACAATGAACATTTTATTAAGACAACACTTGCGTCACGGCATTGTGATTCATGATTCCTGTATTATTCGCAATTTGCAAGGGGTATACAACAGATTATAACGATTTGCTGCTCACACGCACTGATTGTGGAACTGACTCTGTTTTTTTGTGATCATGCAAAGAAGTCAACATTAACAAACAAGTTGCAATCACCCATTCGAAATAAAGCCATTATTTCTTACTCCACTCCTTACGACCATTTTGGCTTATTACCTTCTCGTCCCTTCACCACCGTTCATGTCAGTGCTCGGCCTGTATAGCACTAAATAGATCCACGCAATACCGATACCATTATTATGGTACATAATATTTTCTCAATTCTTCATTCCTACCTAGATAGTGCAACCTTAGCTTGCTTAATCGTACTAGAAACAACCACGCATCAGTATTTTATGTGACTGTAGTGAAATCCCTGCACTGCAGTATGGTTACAAACGTGGTAACAATGCTTGAGATCATCATGTCACCTGTTTTTCCCCCCCCCCCCAAAAACACCAACACAGCAACTGACTCAGAAACAGGGTGATTATATGGATGGTCACAAACAAGAGCTCGTTATCATATATGGTCACTCAGCTATCGTAAACGGTCACGAAACTATCGCGGATGGTCACAGAATCTTGGATTCTATCACGGATAGTTACAAGGAAATTACGTTTGGTCACACAATGCCCTCCAAAATTATCTCGTATCGTCATGTTTGGAAACATTTTTTTACTATTCAGAGATTTATGGAAATTTTAACTACCAGGTGGTTTTGTCCTATTTGTGCAGCTTATTTATTTCAGTGGCAAGTCGAGATGTACAAACAGCCTCAGTAGAATATATATATATATATATAACCTGTTCGGATCACATGTCATTCGAGGGAGACATCAGCCCTAAATACCGTGCGACAAGGTGGTTAGGATATTATAAGAAAATAATTGACAAGAAATCCATTTGTATTATTTTTTTTTCAGATATTATAAGAACATAATTGACTTCTAAACTTGATTTTTTAATAATTTATTCGCGACTCGGTACGGATGTAACTAAGCAGCTGGAACAAGACAAAATAGTATTTGTTTTTAATGTTTGCGAAAGCGGTCACAAACTTCTTTAGAAGGTAACAGTTGTTTCGCGCGTGAGAGAACTCTTCCTGAATCTCTACAGTGACTCACGTAGTTTCAACTTTACATCGAGCGTTTCATTGTGTGACCATGCGTGATAGAATCGTGGGGCAAGTTGTGACTATCCGTGATAATCGTGTGATCATCCGTGATAGAAGACCTAGATTCTGTGACCGTTTGCGATAGCCGCGAGACTATCTGTGATAACGAGTCCATGTTTGTGACTGTTTGCATAATTCACCTCAGAAACGTTAGCGTCCTCGCTTTCATGGGCTGCCGCAAGACACGTCCCGTATTCGCCTCGGAAATTTATCTCTTTTTGTTCAATCTACCTTCCAATCATTCCCGCCATGGACCGGTCGAAGCCCGTGAAGTACGGCCTCGAGATTCGCCGCAAGCCGCAAAGCCATCGCCCTGCGGCGGCGGCGGCGAAGCCGTTACCACCCGTGCGTGATGCGAAGCTGCAGGCGCTGTTCGGCGACGACGACGACGACGAAGACGGCGTGGAGGCGGACATCGCGCGGCAGAACCTCAAGAAGCGAAGCCAGCGTGAGGTGCGGCGGGATATGCGGGTTGTGAACTACATAAAAAAAAAACGTGGCGGTGGTGGTGGACTTGTCAGTCGTTGACGGGTGACGACGCGGCGGTTAGGCTAGGGGACGGCGAGTAGGCTCAGGGACGGCGAGTAAGCTGGGGGATGGCTCCGAGTTGGATACGTCGAGACAAGAAATCAAAATGACACGACAATCCCAACGATTAGTATATTACGCTACCCAGATACTTTTAACAAGGGACGGACCTTCATTGCGATCAAGCGCCAGCATTAGCGCCCGTCTTCTAATGTCTCAGAACCTAATTCACTCTTTTGTTTCAACTGTAGATTCGTTTTCCCGAACTCTGTCCTCACTTATGCAGTCTCCTCTCTTAACGCCGCCCTTGTTGGGGGTTCAGACGGAGCAGCAGCACGAGACACGTTCCGAGGCGCCGCAAAACGCGTCTAATTGTATCCGATCGCCTCCGCTAACACCGCCCTCTTTTTGTGCTCCCAACAATCTCCTCCCCTACTGCTGCCATAACTCTTCTTACCGATGCAGACGGAGCAGCAGCACGAGGCGGCGATGGCGGAGGACCCATCTGTGTTTGACTACGACGGGGTGTACGACACCATCCATGCTGCTAGGACCTCGCGAGCCAAAGAAGCTGTCCAAAGACAGGTGGGTGCACTGCGGTTCAGTGTGGTGCATTTCGGTTTAGTTCTGTTCTGTTCGATGCTGCGAGGTTTGTATCTGAGGGGCCTTAATAGCAGCAGCACGAGGCAGCCATGGCGGAGGACCCATCTGTGTTTGACTACGACGGGGTGTACGACACCATCCACGCTGCTAGGACGCCGCGAGCTAGAGAGGCTGTCCAGAGACAGGTGGGTGCGGTGCGGTGCTGCACGGTTTGTGTCTGAGTAGCCTGAGAGCCAGCAGCACGAGGCGGCCATCGCGGAGGACCCATCAGTGTTTGACTACGACGGGGTGTACGACATCATCCACGCTGCTAGGACATCGCGAGCCAAAGAGGCCGTGCAGAGACAGGTGGGTGCAGTGCGGTGATGTGTGGTTCAGTGCGGTGCTGCGCGGTCAGTTGATAAGTAGCTTACAAAGTAGCAGCACGAGGCATTGGTGGTGGAGGACCCATCAGTGTTTGACTACGACGGGGTGTAGACACCATCCACGCTGCTAGGACGTCGCGAGCTAAAGATGTCGTGCAGAGACAGGTGGGTGCAGTTGGGTGCAGTGCGGTGCGGTGCGGTCCCGTGCGGTGCTGTGCGGTTTGTTTCTGAGGCGCCTCATCTGTGTTTGACTACGACGGGGTGTACGACCACATTCACGCCGCCAGGACCTCGCGAGCTAAAGAGGCTGTTCAGAGACAGGCGGGTGCAGTGCGGTGCTGCACGGTTCACTCCTCCATGCGTATGGCACAGTCTGAGCGGGCTATACCGAAAGGACACTCTCTAGTGTTCCTCGTTTCTCTTATTTCAAGAAGATCTGCGCACTTTCCATCTTTTCCTCTCCCTTCTGCTGCTTCACCCAGCATGCGCAGCAGCAATCCAGGCCTCACATCAACAGAGAGAAAGCAGTGGCAAGAGAGTGCTTGTGAGACCCCTTGAAAGATAAGAAAACGCTGGATAGGGAAAAGGAGGAGAAGGAGGGAGGCTTCTTGGGAGAAGGATAGGAATCTGAAACCAGAGGGCATTGTCCCTTCCGTTCTTTTTCAATTGCCACCTCGGAATTGCCCCGACTGCATGCACGGTACATTCCGAACTTGTCTAAAACGACCAAGGAGAGGGAGAACGAGAAGGAGCTGGTGCAGGAGCGGCTGCTGGCAAAGGATCGGGCCAAGGAGGAGGAAGCGGTCACAACAAGGCCTTTTCCTGTCCCCTTTAACTGATCTTTTCCGCATTCGTTTATTGACCTTGTCCCATGCGTTTGACTCGCTGTGTGAGCAGGCGCGGTACATCCCAAACCTGCTGAAGACGACCAAGGAGCGGGAGAAGGAGAAGGAGCTGGTGCAGGAGCGGCTGCTGGCGAAGGAGCGGGCCAAGGAGGAGGAGGAATTCGCAGGCAAGGAGCGGTTTGTGACGCGCGCTTACCGTGAGAAGCTGGCGGAGCGGCAGCGTTGGCTGGCAGAGGAGAAGCGCAAGGAGGCTGAGGAGGCGGCTAACGATGTGAGCAGGGCTGCTTGGCACTTGTGGAATGTGCATGGGGATGTAATGGGCACGGGCATGCGAGTGGGCATGGGCATGGGCATGGGCATGGGCATGGGCATGGGCATGGGCATGGTGGTTTTATATCGATGTATGGCAGGTTCATGGTCATGCAATTTGCCTTGCCCTTCTCCGGTCCCCCTCCCTTGCCCTTTTCCGCTCTCCCTCTCTTCCCCTTCCCCTCCCCCCTTCCTTGCCCTTTTCCCCTCCCCCTCCCTTGCCCCTTTCCCCTCCCCTTCCCTTGCTCGTGTAACTCTGTACGGACAATTGACAATGAAACCTTTCTTCTCTCTGGCTGCAACAAGCACACTCTTGCTTTCAACTTCTCTCCTCCTTCCCACACCTGTGGCACGCATTGTCTATGTATTCTAAAACACTTCTGCTGTCCATCTCCTCTCTTAACCGTTCCCGCCCCCGTTTCCCTTCCGCCCCAAACCCCCTTATTGCAATGCCTATTCCTAATTATTATGTCGGCCCACTTTTCTCCCTGTCACACTCCCGTCACTTCCCCTTTTGATGCGCCTCAAAAGTCGTCTCATGTTTTGAGGCGCCTCAAAAGTCGTCTCATGTTTTGAGGCGCCTCAAAAGTCGTCTCATGTTTTGAGGCGCCTCAAAAGTCGTCTCATGTTTTGAGGCGCCTCAAAAGTCGTCTCATGTTTTGAGGCGCCTCAAAAGTCGTCTCATGTTTTGAGGCGCCTCAAAAGTCGTCTCATGTTTTGAGGCGCCTCAAAAGTCGTCTCATGTTTTGAGGCGCCTCAAAAGTCGTCTCATGTTTTGAGGCGCCCCAAAAGTCGTCTCATGTTTTGATGCGCCTCAAAAGTCGTCTCATGTTTTGAGGCGCCTCAAAAGTCGTCTCATGTTTTGAGGCGCCTCAAAAGTTCGGCCCACTTTTCTCCCTGTCACACTCCTGTCACGTCCCCTTTCCTTCCCCTTCGCCCCTCTCTCTCCCATTTTGCTTTGTCTATTGTCTCACGTGACCAAGCATTCAGAACTGATTTTCCTGTACCCCTTGCAGCATGCTCAACCCATCATCGCATTTCGTCTCTCTCCATTCCCCCTCCCCATCCCCCTCTTTCTTCTCTTCCCCTTCTTCCCCCTTTTCCCCCTATTCCCCCTCTTCCGCATCCCCCCCCTTCTTCGCCCCCAGGTGACCAAGCGGTCGGACCTGACAGATCTATACCGCAACCTGTATCGAGCGCGGGATGCGCAAGCAGAGACAGCGGTGAAGCCCACAGGGAGGGTGGCTGGGAAGGAGGAGGCGAGGGCGGGGGGGGGAGAGGGCAGGGAGAAGCAGAGAGCAGGGAGCAAGGAGCGTGAGTTGCCAGTGGAAGAGCCGAGGGCACGGAGCAGGGAGGGGGAGGCAGCTGCTGTGTTGCCAGCGGAACGGGAGAGGCGGCTGGAGGGAGCTGTGCCTGCGGTGGGTGCAAGGAGAGATGGTGGCAGGGTGGGTGGGGATGGGGTGCAGGAAGGTGCTGTGAGTGCTGGGAGGGATAGGAAGGAGAGAGGAGAAGAAGTTGCTGGTGCGTGTGGTGATGCCGTTCGTCCCAGTGCGAGCAGGGAGGATGACTCGCCACTGAGAAGCAGCCAGGAAGGTGCCGGTGAGGATGAAACGAGACGGGCTAGTGGAGCAGGGCGCGAGGGGGGGTCTTCTGGTGGGGGGGATGGTGGTGTTGGGGTTTCAGGTGAATATGATGTGCCAGGTGTCAGCAAGTCATTGGAGGGTGGTGATAAGAGGAGTGTGAAGGTGTCGGCCGAAGACAAGGTGAGCGAGGCTCGTGCCCGGTTTCTTGCGAGGAAGAAGCAGAAGAATGTATAATAGTGCAGAACTGTTTGAATTGCTAGCCCTGAGAATATGCTAGTGTGGTTACTAATCTTCCATTAGTGTGGTTTGTCTCCATCCAGATGGTGTGGAGGCTCTGATGTATGTGAATCCTAGTGTGTAGGGAGGTATGTGTGTTAGGTGTGAGCTTGCATGTTGGCAAAATTACAAAACATGACTTATAGCGGTTATCGAAGCGCCTTCTCTGATTGTAGGCGGTTCGTCAGGTGTCAAATCGACGCCAGATCTGTCGGTCGGTTCGGTGCGTTTCCCTGGATCAGCTCAGCACGCAGCCGTCATGTCAGGTCAGCCCAGCTGCACCCCTGCTGTGGGGCCAACATCCATTTCTTGGAAATTCCGCCCTCTCGTTGGCAGGAGTCGGCTGGTCGCAGCGCGTGCTGGTCATATTGCGCAATGCGCAGCAAAATTGAAATCCCACGCGCGGCTCCACGCGCAGGCAGAAGCAACACGAGCAACCCTTTCCCATCGAACTTTACCCACCTTCACCTTTTGATTTTCCTTTCAGAAAGCGCAGGGAGGGAAGTTGTCATGTTGATGCATAGTAAACTCTCCGCTAATTATGTCCTGCTCTTCCAAGGCTGCATATTAGCGGCTGGACGTGGAATTGTGGAAGTCCAGAACGCATTAGACTTTATTTGCTGCTTGGGAACAAAGTCTGGCTTTTGAGATGTCCCATAAGTAGCCAACGGCTGAGCCCCCCGGCTAGTGATGGTAGATATTTGACATTTGCAATTGAATGTGAATCGATCGTATCGCGCCGTGCTACCACGACATGGTGTCGCGTGCTGCGTTTCGTTCGGTTTCGCACGATGTCGCATGGAATTGTGCTGGACTACACGAGACGACGAAGGTGCATGTCACACCGCGTCACGGCGACAACTTGGGAGTTTGCGAGCGTGTAACCGCTCCAGGTTCAAGCGACAGTTTGTGCGAATCTGACGACGGCTGCGACTCGCCCGATACCCTCTCGCCTGCGCTCACCCCATCACCCCAACTCAGCCCCTCATCCTCTTCCTCCTCCTCTCCCTCCCGCTCTCCCCCATCCCCGTTAGTAGAGGCTTCGACGGATTCGATACAGGAGCTACGGAAGCTTCTCGCTTCAGCTGCCGTGCAGAATCAAAGGAATGGGCACTGCTGCTGCCGTAACAAACGCACCGATACACGTGGCAAACTGAGGGATACACGTGGCAAACGGAGCGATGCGCGTGGTGAATGGAGCGATGGGGCCGCGGGTTCAGGAAGATTGGGAGGTTCGCGGCAGGCGCGCACTCGCGCTCCGGAGTCCGGTCGTCCGACCAGCGCTAGCGACGGCTGCCGCTGCGAAACGCAGCACTGCTGCATTTGCAGGGAGGTACAAATGCTTATATGTGGTTGTATGGAAGGGATCCACATTGACGCCGGGGAAGCTTATAAGGGGTACATCGACGCCAGCGACGGCGAGGGCAGCGATCACCGCGTGACCGCGACCAATCAGCGACGCCGCCCGGAGATCGCCGAACCACATGCGGAGAGGTCGAGGCAGGAAGCGGAAGCTTCGCGGAAGGAGTGGATTGACCGTTACCTGAGCGACTGCCTGCACACGTGCGCAGAGAGTATCAGTAGTGGGTGTGGGGGCAGTGGAACCTGTAGTGACCGCGGAAGCGGAACGGGTGATGGCGGAGGCGGGAGTGATGCCCGCGAAAGCGGAATCGGTACGGGCGGAGCTGGCGCAAGTGGGCGCGTACCGCCCCCTCTGTCCTACTACGCGCTTTCGGCCAAGCGCGCTCGCTTCCCCCGCCACCACTCCCCTCTCCCGCTCCCGCCCTCCCGTTCGCGCCCGCGGCAAACCTTCCGCCAACCCAACGCTCCTTCCCGCGGAAGTGAAAAGCCCCGTGGCGGGAATGATGCCCCCCCGCGCAAACCGTTCGCCCAGGGGAGTTCCCCCCGAGCGGACCAGAATGACGGTATGCGCAAAGCTGGCGCAAGCCGCCCCTTCCCCCGCGGCGGGGGAAGCATCCGCGCAACGGCGAGTGCGGGCACCGGAAGGCAAACGGGGGAGAGCAGAAGCTCCCCGCGAGAGGGGCCTTCGGAGGGGATTGTACGCGCGGACGGCGCGGGAGAAGCGGATGGAACGGCGAGATCAAAACCTGATCGTCCATTTGTGGGAGTAGCTGAGACACACGATCCTCCGCACGACTCCCAGGCTGTGGGTCGTAGCAAGGGCGGCGGCGCGGGAAACGAGAGTGCGAAAGGTGCATTAACGAACGCGATGCGTAACCGATGCGCCTTAAAACGGGTGGACGGCAACGCGCCGTCTCAGAGAGAGGCAGTGGGACAACACGTGGCAGCAGGGAATTTGACGGGGCTGGCAGCAGCTGGATTGGAGCAGCAAAAGAAAAAGCTGCAACAGGTATTGGGAAATGCGGTGGAAAGAGATGAGATTGGACGAGATGCGGTACAAGGGGGTGAGAACCGCGTCCCTGTCAGCTACAACGAGCAGGTGAAGGTGCCAGTATCGAGGACGAAAGGAAGCAGCAGGGAAGACGTTTCAGAGAGGGGAAGAAGCGGTAGGTGGCAGCAGGAGCGAAAGATGAGCAACATACTCGGAGGTAGAAACGGTGGTGCCGCTGGTGGTTGTGGTCGTGAGGGTGAAGGCGATGGGAACGATGGGCCTGCTGTGGGTGTGGATGCCAGTGCCTGTGCTGCTGCTGCTGCTGATGGTACTGCTACTGATGCTGATGCTGCTGCTGATGCTGATGCTGATGCTGGTGTTGCTGCTGATGGTGCTGCTGCTGATGCTACTGCTACTGATGGTGGTGGTGGTGAGGGTGAAGGTGATGGGAACGTTGGGCCTGCTGTGGGCGGTGATGCCAATGCCTGTGCTGCTGCTGCCCATGTTGTTTATTCTACTGGTGCTGCTACTGCTGGTTCTGGTGCTGTTGATGGTGGTGCTGCTGATGGTGCTGCCGTTGATGGTGGTGCCGTTGATGGTGGTGCTGTTGATGGTGGTGGTGCTGATGGTGTTGCCGTTGATGGTGGTGCCGTTGATGGTGGTGCTGCTGATGGTGGTGCTGCTGATGGTGGTGATGATGTTCCTTCTAATGGTGGTGGTGCTGCTGACTATAATTGTGCTGCTGCTACTCCTACTTCTGTTTCTTGTTCTACTGCTTCTGCTGCTGTTGCGCATACAAACGAAGTTGCGGAAGCAGGGATAATAGTAGTAGCCTGGGCAGTGCAATGCGCAAGGGGGAGCGAACAAGGCGAGTGCAGCGCTGCCGAAGGATCCGGGGGGGGAGGCGTGGCGGAGGGGGAAGGCGTGGCGGAGGGGGAAGGCGTGGCGGAGGGGGAATGCACAGGGGAAAAGTCAGCAGAAGAGGAGGGGGGGACTGAGGGAGCAGCTGGGGACGAAGCAGGTGATGAGAGAGTAGGTGGCGTAGAGGGTGCGGTTGTCGTGGTGGGGTGTGATATGCACTCCGTAGACTTGCCGCACCAGCTGGTGCAACGGGAGAAGGAGCAGCAGGAGGACCAGCAGGTGGTGCAGCAGGAGGTGAAGCAGGAGGAGAATCAGGAGGAGCAGCAGGCGGAGAAGCAGGAGGAGCAGCAGGCGGAGAAGCAGGAGGAGCAGCAGGCGGAGAAGCAGGAGGAGCAGCAGGCGGAGAAGCAGGAGGAGCAGCAGGCGGAGAAGCAGGTGGTGCAGCAGGCGGAGAAGCAGGCGGAGAAGCAGGAGGAGCAGCAGGAGGAGAAGCAGGCGGAGAAGCAGGCAGAGAAGCAGGCGGAGAAGCAGGCGGAGAAGCAGGCGGAGAAGCAGGCGGGGTGCATGAGGGAGAGAGGAAGAAGTGTGGAGGATGTTGATCAGAGGGGGGAGCACGTCGGGAAAGAGGCAAACAAGGAGAAAGAGGAGGGAGAGGAGGAGGGAGAGGAGGAGGGGGACGGGGAGAAGTGGGAGCGGGGAGGAGGGGTGATCCTGGGAGTGGTGAGGCAGAGCTCCTTTGATCGGGCCAGGGGGGTGTGCAGGCTCATTGCTCGAGCACGATCACTGAGTGAGTCACCCCTGATTGCTTGGAAGGTTCCGCTTGCATGAGTCTGCTCCTAGATGTTCCTCTCGTGTGGCTGTCTAGATGTTCATATGTGCGTTGCTATTCAATCGTGTTGCCTGCCCCTGAGTCGCCCCTTCGCTCATGTCGCCTGTCCTCTTTATCTCGTTCCTTCTTACTTCTCTTTTCCCCACCTTTCTCCTCGCTACTCTTTCTTCACCTCTTCTCCCTGTTACCACCCCTCACCATCCCTCGCCACCCATCACCATCCCTCACTACCCATCACCATCCCTCACCACCCCTTACCACCCCGCAACATCCCTCACCGCCCCTCGCGCATCTCATCAGGCCCAGGCCCAGTCTTGAGGTCGATGATCCAACGGTCCAGATGCTCCAACGGCACTCCAGGTAGGGGCATGACACCTTGCAGCACCAACAGGGGCAGGGGAGAAAGAGACAAGAGTAGTGGGGAGAGCAGCGGCAAAGAGGGCGACAAGAGGGAGGTGGGGAGCAACGGAATGACGAGCACTACTGAGTCGATATTGCAAGGTGCGGGGGAAGGCAGAGGGGTGAGCAGTGCAGCGAGAATCAGGGCGCTGCTGCAACGGCGTGTTGCAGTTGCCAAGGAGAGTGAGAGCGTTGCAGTTGCCAAGGAGAGTGAGAGCGTTGCTGGGTGGGAGTCCTCACACAATCGGGCCGGAACAGCAGCAGCAGCAGCGGGGGAAGCAACAGCAGAGAGGGGGGCAGCAGCAGCAGCTGATTTGGAAGTAGCAGAGAAGGCAGCAAAAGCAGCGAACGAGACAGCCGCGGCATATGTGGAAAGGAGTGGCTTTCAAGGAGGAGCGGCGGCAGCACGTGCAGCAGTATGGGTAGGGAGGTCGTGTAGGGTGGCCCCACAACAGCAGAGAGAGCAGAGCGATGCAGATGGGGTGGAGGCGCAGGAGGGAGGGAGAGCAGAGTGCGAGGGGCAAGCGGAGGGTGCGAGGCAGAAGCGCAAATACCTGCCACAATTCCGCCCTGAGACGCCACAGAAGCCAAGTAGTACCACTGTGTGGCAGCAGCAGAAGCAGAAACACCTGCCACCGCCGCAGCTGCTTGCTGGTTGCGATACAGAGCAAAGCAGCAACCAGCAGCAAGCAGTAGGCATGGCAGCAGATAAAACCGCAGGGGAAGCAGGAGAGGAAGCAGCAGGAGCAGAGAAAGCGGGAGGGAAGACATCACTCGGGGCTGAGTCTTGGGCCAGTCATTTCCGACTCCGAGGTTCTGCCACGGGTGTGCTGGAGGGGTTGCTCTTACGACCCAGGCGGAGGAGGAGGGAAGGGTTTGTGTTCCCTTAGGCAGTAGGCTGATGCTGCAAATGCTTGTATTGGTACTGTAGATGGGTTGATAAAGCCAGTAAGAGTGAGGTGTGTAAGCTTGCTCACTATGAGTGGATTGAAGTGAAGGAGAGGTGTACCTAGAGGTTCCCTGCATGTGTATGTGTATTGCCATGCATGGGTGTTGGATGTGGCTACACCCTGATCCGGCCACACCCGACCCGATCCTGAATATTTGCAGAGGCAAGTATGGCATAAACTTATAAGCGTACAACAAATATACAGTAGAAATTACAGGGAAATATGCACGCCACAATGTGTGGCATGAAGTGTACTTGTTGTCTGTTGGTACAGAAAAACACAGAATGCTGATCATGCCCCCGTTAAGCAAGTCGGGGTAAGAGTACCGGTAGGTCCCACCAGCCTGCCTTTGACACTGCTACGTATGCTGACAGGGCGCTGCAGAATGCACATGTGCCATGTGCAATGTGCCATGTAACACGAGGGTGGGTTCCAGCAGCCCCACGTCCAACAGCGCAGCGCACAGCCCTGTGCCCTCCCCCCACGCCTCAGTGCCAGCCCTGTGCCCTCCCCCCACGCCTCAGTGCCAGCCCTGTGCCCTCCCTCCACGCCTCTGTGCCAGGTGCGCTCCCATTTAGAGCATGCGCAGGATGCAGAGGCGCAGCAGGTCAACGTAGAGGAACACGAGCGTGGGCTCCAATAACCCCACGTCCGACAGGGCCGCACACAGCCCCTCTGACCCTGTAACACACACCACTGCTGGCGCAACCCCAGTGCTGGCTGGCATGCTCACGGCTCTCTAGAGCATTCGCAGGATGCAGAGTCGTAGCAGGTCAACGTAGAGGAACACTAGCGTGGGCTCCAGCAACCCCACGTCCACGATGGTGCTGGTGCAGCCCTGTGCGCTCCCTCCGCCCCTCTGTGCCCTGTACACCCCTAGAGCACGCCCCTAGAGCACGCCCCTACAGCATGCGCAGGATGCAGAGGCGCAGCAGGTCAACGTAGAGGAAGACGAGCGTGGGCTCCAGCAACCCCACGTCCGCCAGGGCAGCACACAGACCCAGATACGCCTCCACTCCGGCATCCCCTCGCTGTAACCTCCGCAGCACTAGAGCGAGCTGCTGTGCGTTGGGCTGCATGCCCCTGCGCACCATCTGCAGGACATGGGTGGGGGAACGGGGGAGGGAGAGGGGGATTCAGTTGGGTGGGGAAGAGCGCACACCGGCTCAGTTGACTGAGCGCACACCAGCTCAGTTCACCAGCTATACATACACGCTCTCTTCTCACCTCCCTCACGGCATATGCAGCCACATCACATCCACATGCCCGGCCTTGAGTGCACCCCCCACCATGAGCACACACACCCACAAGCTTACTCACCTCCACCGCACGTACACACTCGATGGGCTCTCCTCACCTCCCCCATGGCATATGCAGCCACGTCCACATGCCCGCCTTTGAGCGCTTCCCCCACCATGAACACATATCGACCCAGTAAACAATCTATGCACACACAGTCTCTCGTTTTGAGTCGACTCAAAACTAGGCTTCCCCCACCATGAGCACATATCGACCCAGTAAACCATCTATGCACACACACACACACACACACACACACACACACACACACACACACACACACACACACACACACACACACACACACACACACACACACACACACACACACACACACACACACTCCTCACCTCCCTCACAGCGAATGCAGCCACGTCCACATGCCCGCCCTTGAGCGCACCCCCCACCATGAGCGCATACGCCCACTCGTCCAAGGGACACCCCAGCGCCTCCAGCCGCTGTATGAAGCTGGTGGGGGAGGAGGGCCGGGGGAAGGGAGAGAGAGAGAGGGAGGAGATGGGGAGGGAGGGAGAGAGGGAAGGAGGGAGAGAAGCAACAAGGAAAGAAAGTTTTCCTTTCATTCTTTATTTTTTTTCCAACCCTTTCTCTCCAACCACCCGCGCCCTTTTCACCCTACCTTCCCCCCTCTTCCCCGCAACTCTAGAGCACAGCTTTAGACCCACAACTCTTTCCCTCTGTGGGGAGCCCTGCACCCCCCTCCACCCCTGAGAGGGCGGAGCGCGCGCTCCGCCCTCACAGGGTCCCCCTGCTCCCACGTCCCCATTCTTACCTGTGTAGCGAGGGCTGGCCTCTCCAGCACGCAACAGGTCGCCAGACACGCGCCCTCCCTGCTGCACCACGCCCCACAGTGCCCGCTCCGCCCTCTCAATGGCCCTCTGCTCCCACGTCCCCACCCTTACCTGTGAAGAGAGGGTTGGTCTCCCCAGTAGGCATACAGCCCCGCAACACTGGCCGCCAGATCGCCAGACACGCGCGCCCCCTGTTCCACCACCCCCCATAGCACGCGCTCCGCCTGCTCGGGGTGGCTCGCGTTGAACCAGAGCGTCACCAGCTTCCCATGCACCTTCCTCCCGTTTCCCCACAACCTCTGCCATCTCCCCTCACCCTTTCCCCATTCCCTCCCCTCTCACCCACCCGCTTACCTGTGGAGGAGCGCAGGTTGGTCGCCACAGTAAGCGTACAGCCCAGCCACACTAGACACCAGGTCGCCAGAAACACTGCCTCCTTGCTCCACCACCCCCCACAGCGCACGCTCTGCCTGCTCGGGGTGGCCCGCGTTGAACCAGAGCGTCACCAGCTTCCCATGCACCTTCCTCCCGTTTCCCCCCCACCCTTCCCCCATTCCCCACTCTCTCCCCCTCTCCTTACCTGTTCAGTGCCGTGTGGTCTCCCCAGTAGGCGTACAGCCCCGCAACACTGGAGGCCAAATCCCCCGGTACAAAACCTCCTTGCTCCACAACCCCCCACAGCGCGTGCTCTGCCTGCTCAGGGTGGCCCGCGTTGAACCAGAGCGTCACCAGCTTCCCCTGCATTCCCGCCTGCGCGCGCGCTGCTGCCACCTCCCCCGCTTGCAGCACATGTAGGTCTCTTTCCCTCTCCCTCTCTAGCCTCTGAATTTCCCTGCTCCTCTTCCTCTCCCTCTCCTTTTCTGACTGGTGTCTCCTTCTCAAAGGCTCTAGCTCCTCCTCGTCTCGAGAAAAACTTTGGCTCGCTTCAAGTACCCTCCCCCTCCCAGTCACCCCCTCCTCTAGTCTTTGCGCTTCCCCCTCGTGCTGTCTCAACTGCGCGCCCGAATATGCCTCCGTTTCTGCTTGTGCATGTGCTGCTGCGAGCTCTTCTGCTTGTAGCAACTGCTGCTCCCAACAATCCCCTACCCTCTCCCTCTCCCTCTCCCTCTCCCTCTCCCTCTCCCTCTCCCTCTCCCTCTCCTTCTCTACTCTCTGCGTCCCTCGTTGCTCTTCCAACACAGCCCCCTCACCACACATCCATCCGCTCGCACCCCCCTCCTCCACCTCGCCTCTCCTGCCGCTTTGCAAGTCCAGCAGCAACCAAGACTCACGACGCCCCTGCGAATCTATTCTATATCCCTCCTGCTCTTCCCTCCTGCTTCCACCACTCAAAAGCCCTCGTGGTATCCCAGTAACCTGTGCGCCTAGCCTGCTACTTCCCTCCCCATCTTCTGCCACATGCTGGTGAAGCTGCGCCTCTCGCCCCTTCACCTCGTATCCCCCCCTGCCCTCCTCCCTAATCTCTGCTAGCCGCTTTTCCCGCTGTCTCTCTCGCTCTCCAACCGCCGCCCTAAGCCTCTGCAGGTCGGCATCGCACTCCTCTGCACACCACTGCACCACTTGCTCCGCCTCATGCCTTAGAGTTGCCCCGTGAACCTGCATGCGTGCAAGTGGCAGGGATAAGGGGAGGAGTGAAACGCGGGGGTTAAAGAGGAGGGTGTTGAGGGTGTTGCTTTAAGAGGTGCCTGAAAACCTGCTGCGTGTTTTTGAGTCGACTCAAAAACAGCCTGAAAACCTGCTGTGGCGTCGACCTGCACGTGTGCAAGTGGCTGGGACGAGGAGAGGATTGAAGGAGGGGTTTGAGCTGAGAGGAGAGTGTTGAGATTGCTGCTGATAGCGGTGCCTGGAAATCTGATTCCAACTGCAGCGTTGCCCCGTGGACCCGTGTGTGCAAGTGGCATGGACGGAAGGTTTGAGAGGGGGGCAGTGAGAGGGGGGCAGTGAGAGGGGGGCAGTGAGAGGGGGGCAGTGAGAGGGGGGCAGTGAGAGGGGGGCAGTGAGAGGGGGGCAGTGAGAGGGGGGCAGTGAGAGGGGGGCAGTGAGAGGGGGGCAGTGAGAGGGGGGCAGTGAGAGGGGGGCAGTGAGAGGGGGGCAGTGAGAGGGGGGCAGTGAGAGGGGGGCAGTGAGAGGGGGGCAGTGAGAGGGGGGCAGTGAGAGGGGGGCAGTGAGAGGGGGGCAGTGAGAGGGGGGCAGTGAGAGGGGGGCAGTGAGAGGGGGGCAGTGAGAGGGGGGCAGTGAGAGGGGGGCAGTGAGAGGGGGGCAGTGAGAGGGGGGCAGTGAGAGGGGGGCAGTGAGAGGGGGGCAGTGAGAGGGGGGCAGTGAGAGGGGGGCAGTGAGAGGGGGGCAGTGAGAGGGGGGCAGTGAGAGGGGGGCAGTGTTCTTAAAGCAGATATTTGTCCCACCAGACCCATCCTTTAGTCCACCCAAAGAAGAATCAACCATCTGGTCACTCACCTCCAGCAGAAGCCCGTCCAGAGGCGACAGCTGCCCCACCACGCCCATCTGCTGCAGGTCCCTCAACTCCCTCCGCGCCACACTCAGCTTCTCCTGCTCCTTCACCGCACCGGTCAGCACCGCACTGAACCCCGCCACGCCCACCTCCACCCCGGCTTCTCTCAGGATGCGCGGCAGCGGCAGCACCTGCCGGTACTGCCCGGCGCTAACAGCTCGCAGCAGCAGCAGCCCCACTAGATCCTCCCTCTCCTCTGCTGCTCTCATCGCCTCTTCTTCTTCCCCCACCGCATCTGCTACTCGCGCCGCCACCTCTCCATCCCCGTCCCTCTCTGCTTCTGCGTCTCTTGACCTTGACTCTCTGCCTGCCTGCCTCCCTTCCTGCCCCTGCCCTCCCCTCGCCTCATTCGCCCCCTCTGTGCTAGCTTCTCTGCTGCTTCCTTCAGTACCAGACGCTCTGCTGATCTGCTGTTGTTCAGAACGCATCCCACTCCTTTCCACTCCTGACAATCGCCCATCTTGCATTCTTGCCTCTGCTGCTCCCGTGCCCGCCCCTGGACCCGGTATTCTCTGTATAAAAATCTCCTCATTGCTGCCACCGCTGCTGCTGCTGCTACCGTCGCCGCTGCTCCCTCCGCCGCCGCCGCTGCTGCTGCTGCTGCTACTGCCATTAATCCCACGATCGCTCGCTCGCACGAGCAGCTGCAGCTTCAGCCGTTGCTGAATCTCCTGCCGTGCGCTCCACGGCGGACTCGCACGCTGCGCGGCTGTAAGCAAGAGAGGGAGGGAGGGAGGGAGGGAGGGAGGGAGGGAGGGAGGGGGAGGGAGGGAGGGAGGGAGGGAGGGAGGGGGGGGAGGGAGGGAGGGAGGGAGGGAGGGAGGGAGGGAGGGAGGGAGGGAGGGAGGGGGGGAGGGGAGGGAGGGAGGGAGGGAGGGAGGGAGGGAGGGAGGGAGGGAGGGAGGGGGAGGGAGGGAGGGAGGGAGGGAGGGAGGGAGGGGGGGAGGGAGGGAGGGAGGGAGGGAGGGAGGGAGGGAGGGAGGGAGGGAGGAAAAAAGGGAATATTATTGTAGGCTGCTCAAGAATCGCAAGCTGCAAAGCTGGAAGAGGGCGAGGGTGGGGAGAGGGGTGTGAGGGGGGGAGGATGGAAAATGAATGACGACATAATTTCACGTTGAGGGTGTAGAAAGGTGCAAGGTGTGGGAGGGAGGGGTGTGGGAAGCAAGGTGCGGGAGGCAACAGCAGCAGAGCGAGGGAGAGGTGGAAAGCAAAAGATGGCAGGAGCGAGCGAGAGGGACTGGTGGAAGAGGGAAAGCAGTGAGGGGGGAAGGCGGTCAGGAGGAAGAAGAGGAGGTGCGGGTGGGGGCGGGGTTGGGGGCGAAGGGGGGGAGGGTGGGGGGTGGGGGGGGGAGGGGAGGGGAAGGTTGGGTTTGAGAGAAGAGGAGACGGTGATGAAGAGGGAAAGGTGGTGAGAGAGGGGTAGGTGGGCGGGAGGGCGTTGGGAAATGTGTTACCTGGAGTGGCGCAGTCTGATGACCTCGCTTCCCCATATTTCTGCCCACTACCAATCTCCACCTCATCCCCACTCTTATTCTCACCCTCACTCTCATTTGACCCATCCCACACACTCCCCTCCTCACTTTCCTCCCAATCTTCTCCCTCCTCATCTTCCTCTTCCCCTTCCTCTTCCTCGTCCTCTTCCTCTTCATCCTCGTCCTCATCATCATCCTCCTCATTCCAAGCCACAACTCTCACTCCAGCCACCACCTCCTGCTCCTTCCGCGCACTTTCCTCCTCGTTCCGGAACATCCTCAGAAGCTTCACAACTGCCGCCACCGCCCCTCTATCCCAGAGCTCCTCCCCCACCATTCTTTTCAGCGGGAAATCCGGGGGCAGCCCGAGATCCACCATCCTGCCCACCAGCCGCAAAACTTTTTCCGTCGGGCAGCCCTCCTGTAGCAGCTGCCCGAGGCGCTGGTCCATGATGACGTGGATGAGGCGCCGCGTTCGGCGCTCCACGCGGTTCCCGCGGACCATCCAATCGTAGACCTCGAGCGCCTGCCACATGTCGCGACCCTGTTGGGCGAAGTAGGCGATGAGAATCTCGAGATCCTCAAGAGATAGCTTGTCCTGTTGCCACGTGGGAGAGAGGGAGGGAGGGGAAGTCATGAAGAGCGACGGGGTAGACACGGGGACGGCGAGATGGAGGGGAGGTTGGGCGGCCAAATGAAGCAGGGCGATGAGAATCTCGATATCCTCGAGAAACAGCTTGTCCTGATAACGTGTGGGAGGGAGGGAGGGACGGAGTGGGCGAGGGGAAGTCACGGGGAGCGACGGGGGAGACACGGGGGAGGCAAGAAGAGGGGGAGAGACGGGAACCGGATGAAACAGGGCGATAAGAATCTCGAGATCGTCGAGAGACAGCTTGTCCTGTTGGCGTGCTATCCAGCGGTCGGCTCGCGCATCACGGCGGTCGGCTCGCGCATCATGGCTTACAGTTGCCGCACCGCATCCATTACTGCCACTGACTGCCACGCTCCCCTCGGTATAGTCACATACACTACACCCACCGCTATTGTCACCTTCATGCACTCACGTACCTTCATGCTATCAAGAACGGCCGCAGGCTCGCGCATCATGGCTTCCAGTTGCCGCACCGCCTCCATTACAGCCACCGACCGCCGCCAACCCTGTCCCTCCGAACCTACCGCTAGCTCCAATCCCGTTCCTCCCAAACCTGGACGCAGTTCCGAACCTAATCCTGCGTCAGCAGTTGCCATGGTTGCTACAGCGACTCCGCGCCTACACGCGAGTCGTTGGTAACCCGATAACGGATGGTGTGGGTGACAAACGAGGGATCTGCTGTGGTAACCCGAACAAGAATGTTCGCCATCAAGCCCGCGAAATGTTACAGGTCGATACCACGGTTTCTCAGGGAGACGCGAATGCGTTGCGTGGTTCGCGAGCCCAAGGGAGAGGACGGAATGGCCGACTCTAAACTCGCGCAACAAAGGGACTCGGATCTTTTTGCACGGGGTTGTGATGCGAGAGATGACGATGCGAGCGACGTCGCCTGTCGTCGCCTTCGGTTTTGTCGCCCAGAGGGACTCAAGAAACCGTAAGAAGCGGAGACGCGGGCGGCGCTGACGTGTCCGATGGCTTTCCTGCTAGGAAACCTGGACGTAATGGGCTGACAGGTTGTGGAGGTCGCGCAACTGGCGGCGATCTGACGAGTTAGCGACATGCTGGTAAGCTTGTGTGGAACGTTTACTTGTACTTGCTACACTGATATGCCCCGCGCTACGTAGTACGTGTAAGCGTGGTAAGATCGATGGCCTGTGGAAATCAACGGCTAGCTCGTCTTTAAATGATATCCATTACCCTGTGAAGGTTTTAGAAAAGCCAGCTGCGTTGCGTCTGACGAGACGGCGAACGACCGAGTGACAGCGAGATCAGAATACCCTGGCCGATTGGGCGGAATAGCTCAGAATGACAGACAGAACGTGCCACTCATTGACCACGAATGTGAACTACTGACTGAACGCTGACCGTACTATGGTATGGTACGATACTATTCTCGTTGGCTAAATGCAGACCGTCCGAAAGTCATCTACTAATCCCATGCGAAGACGAAAATAGCGGCTGGAGATTCGAATGGGTATTCCCAACGAGAATTGAAGCAGAAGTGTGTGTAACACTCGTGGGTTGAACATGAGCGGGGATGGACATGGGTTGCCTGGAATATTATTTTCACAAGGGAACTCCCAAGCCAAGGGCTACGTAAGCAAGATACAAGTGAGGGAAGGCACATAGGAAAGAGAAGGGAGCTGATTCTTTGCTTGCGTAAGATCACCCCCACCACACCAACCCAAGCCGAGAATGCTCATTCGACAGCCATGGCGGTTCGTTGGTGTGGAGGAGATCCGCACCAGCCATCGATGATGCCAGAAGGGAACGTCCATAAAACACCCTGAACTACCCTGCCCTTATAAAGGGTTAGTGGACTACAGCGCCCCTCGAACACGTGACTCGAGATGAAGTCACGCTCTCAGAACTTAAACTACTTTTATAGGCTTCGGCCAGTCATAAAAATTGAAGGTAGTCTACACCCGTTTTCAGAAGTCTGCACACTAAATGCCCCAACGCGGAACTAGTATGGAGAGGATAATGACGTGGCTATCGTCCAGGTGGAAGGTGCTTCGCCTCACTGGAAAGCTGGAAACCAGTGACATTGCGGCGCGCGTTTAAGAGCCAATTGGCAACGGGCAGAAGGTCCTAAGGTGGCGTGCCGTCGCTCGCTCGTGCGGCGCATCCTTGTTGGTTGGATTGCATCGAGAGCCACATATCCAACATGCACCCCTAAAGCATGAACACAACCAGAATGTGTGTACACACCTTTCAACCATTTCATATCTATCTAGTGATTGTGCTATCACTAAGCACCCCACAAAGTCCTACTTCAGCTACCATAGTTTAGGCCTTCTCTGCAGCCGCATTCAAGTGTGCTAGCACTTCATCCTCCCCTCATGTAAAAATGAAGAATGAGGTTTTCTTATTTCTTAAAATTCTGTTTGTGCAAACCTGTGTGTAAGACATTCTCTCAGAGAAGGGGTTAAATTTGATTAATTGCAAACACTGACGGAACCTCGTTTCCAGTAATAGCGAGTCCCTCTATGCCCGATTTTCTCCCGTCACAAGCCCCAATTCTCTAGCGAAAAGTCGAAAAACGTAACCATGCTCAGGCCCTCGCCCTGCTAATCTGCCTTGGCCGACCAAGCATGATTGCACCCCGATAATCTCTCACTGCACAACCCCACCAGGCGATTGCCCTAGCCATCCATTTCAGCTTTCCACTGAGCTGCCTTTACCCTGGCACATCAAAATCGAATGAGATGCAGTGTGGTCATTGCAGTCTCTCAAACGGTGCAGTGAGAAATCATGCGGTTCTGCTCAGTGCCAACTTCCGAACAATACTCCATCCTCTCGCCTCTTGCCTTGTGACGTGAGGGCGTGTGTGATATTTTTTTAGGTTCGTAGATTAGGTCGAACTTTAGGTTATTACTGCGTTCGCCAATGTCGCTGACACGGTTTGGCGAAGGGCACTCTAAATTGATAACACACAAACGCGACCAACAAAAAGTGAACAAGGCTCGAATCTATGCACGAACTTGAGAGAGCACGATGAACCAAACATGTGTTATTTTGGGCATGTAGAAGAGTTGGCGAACACGTAATTTGTTCGTGCACCAATAAAGGCACCGTCGAGACCAGGTACAGATTTCGTGTCGCAGAGCTATACAAAAACGGGTAACCTACTAACCTACGGACGGCTCGGGTCACCTCCTATAGGTCGAACGTGCAAATTCGAACTAGGGTGTGTGGTTGTGCTTCAACGATTCGTCGAGAAGCGAGGCTCGAAAATTGCCTACACGAAATTCGATTTTTGTGCACCTCATGTTCAGATGGTACATTCGATTCCAAAACGTCAACTTCTACCAAAAAACAAAAAATCACACACGCCCTAAGTGTTGCTATCCCCCAATCGAATCAGGGTTTCAGTGGAGATAGTGATCAACTGCCATGTCAAGTCCTAGGCCATGTCGAACAGCGCGTCCCTGCAGCATATCTTGTCTGCTACTGTGATCGAGCACATCAAGCCGCATCACGTCGAACTCTCAGAGTTGTTCTCACCGTGGCCATTTCCATCACTTGATTTCTTTCACGTGATTAATCCACGCGTTTCGTGCCCAGCACCATACATATTGATGTAAATAAAGCTGTGTAGATCGTTATCCTACTACGTGTAGGTGAACGGTACTAGTGCGGTAGATTCTCGACCACCTTGCAATCGCAAATTTTCGTTCCAATGCTCAGAATCGCACAGTACGTACTGTCCTACAATATCGATCCGACGTGGAACGCAATGATGCTGGCAGGTTCCCTCTCGTTTTGGCGAATTCGCGCGCATCGCTCGGAGGACAGGGGCCACGGATGAAGCGAGGAAAATTCTCACCCGGAGTCTCGCAGTGCATCGTTTTCGTAATCGCTGGTGAGATACAGCGCGTGAATATCGCTGCTTTCTCATTCTTCCATCTCGTCACGATATCTCAAACGTCACGTGTCTCGTTCCTTCCTCGCCGGTGCGCTGCATCTCACCAGCGACCAGATTCTACTGCTGTCGCGCTTTAGGTGCAGCGATACTACCTCCTACTACTACTACTAGTAATCACGCTAATGTCGAGCCGCTCCCAGCGTTACTCCCCTACGACTCCGCGAACCACCACAACGCATACAGTCATGGAGCTTCGCGATTTCTATCCTCCATACTGGAGAGAAGAGCAGCAGCTGGAATGGGAATCTGACCATCATCGAATGGACCATTACGCGTTGGACACGTCCTCATCGGTTGCGCCGTATCGTCTGCCGGTGCTCTCAGGCTGCTCCGCGCAACCTCCCCGCGATACCCCCGCCGCGTCCGCTCGTCGCGGCGGAAGTTCCGCCTCCCGTCGCCGCGGGGACGCGCCGACGATTGCCCGCCGCTGTGCTCTTTCCGCCGCCTCTGACGCTTGCGGAAGGCGGCACTTGCTCCCCTCGCCTCCCCGCGGGGACAAACCCGCCGCCTGCGCGTTCCGCCGCCGCCGCCAACAACTCGCTCTTTCCAAGAAACCCTCACTTGAAGCCAACGCGACTCCTGTTACGGCCTTTGAAACTCAGGCATCAACAAAAAGTTCCTGCCCTAAACCTTCAAGTGCAAGTTGCAGAAGCTTAAGACGTGCCGGGAGTCTGCCGCTTCACTTCCCTGCAGACGCTGAAAGCACCAAGGATCAGCATCCAGATGGCACTGAGGGTGCCATGATGCCGTCGCCTCGGGTATTTGCGAGGAGTAGAGCGTATTCAACTCCAGCGACTGTGGTGTTTAGACACTCACTGGCGCCTCAAGGAAGGCCGGACTCCCTTCTGGTAACAGCTTCTCAGGCAGCAGCACAGACAGCATCAGATCCAGCAGCACAGACAGCATCAGATCCAGCAGCACAGACAGCATCAGATCCAGCAGCACAGACAGCATCAGATCCAGCAGCACAGACAGCATCAGATCCAGCATCACAGACAGCATCAGATCCAGCATCACAGACAGCATCAGATCCAGCATCACAGGCGACATCAAATAATGCAGCACAGACGGCATATGGTGTATTTAGTGGATATGCAAGGTCATTCTTTCTGCGGACTCCCCCGAGTGGATGTCAGGCTGGAAACAGTGCTAGAATACTCAATGCAGGTCCCGGCAGCAGCACCCCTGTCTCATCCACTTCCTCTGCCTCAAAGTGCCCTGCTGTACAAACATACAGCAGCAGCAGTGCCCCTCCCTCTCCTTGCTTCCCGCTGCCTTGCACCAGACCCCCGCGCACCAGCAGTTCACCCATCAGCAGGCAGGCCGAGGCTGAAATTGGGGGGTGCCAATCAGTGCGTGTGAAGCCATGCCTCACGGCTCCCCTCAGCGCCTGCAGCTCAGGCGCAGGCTCGCCTAGCAGGAGCCCCAAGCGCGTGCGCTTTGTGAAATACGTTGAGATTTTGGAGTAGCACAGGGAGAGTAAGATCCCATCTAAGTGCATAAGCGTGTTGCTGTATGTGTGGTTGAGTAATTGGTGCGCTCCAGCAACCAGACCCAGCAGTCTAGCAAAAAGGGTATGGGCAGCTGTGGGGTTGACTCCAGCGCACACCCAGATCGTGTTTACAGCGTGTCATGAATTTGCAGAAGCACCTACCGTATGTCCATTCC